AATCGATGGGGTTGTGCGATATGAGCTAAATTATCTGCTTTCTCCCTATCCAGCTCTTTCCCGGTCTCACAGTCTTTCTAAAATTCTTCCTCTCCTCCCTATTCACCTTCAATCTCTGGAAAATTTTTGTGCTAAAACAATTTTCAATACCAGGCACGAAACGGCGATCATCTCAGAAAAAAAAGGCTGCAACAACCTCAAAATTCAATTCACTAAGCATTCTTTTATCTCTAAATTGCAACGAAATCATAAAATTATTTAGCTGCTCTTGATTTTAGTCGAAATGTTTTCGAAATGGAATTGACGAAATAAAGCAGACTTTGAGCGTTCGGTGGTGATTTTTCCCATAATATTTTTTAAAATATCAACTTCTAAAAGGATAGAATTTCTATAAAATACCAGTTCTGAAAGGGAACAAGTGAAGTTTGGTCACAGTTCCAGACGTTGAAAACTAGTTCCAAGACAACTATGCTTACTGTGGTAACTGGAAATCGGAAGGAGTTCCTGACTTTTCCCATTCTGCCACAAGATCAACCAGGACCTGCATTTGAGACCAAAATCTGGAAGTATGGTATTGGTTTTTGTCCAGTATACCTTCAGGAAGTTGATATTTTAAAAAATCCAGATTTTTGGCTTTACCAAGCTGATGTCGATTAATCCGAAAAATGCAGAAAGATTCACGAACAAACTTGAACCAGACAAAAAAACCGAAAATATACAAAATCTTTTCTAAAGGGGAACCCAGGATGGAATGCGCCAGACTTACCGGTGCGATCATGCGTTTTTTCATCAGACATGAAATACTCAAGTCGTTATGTGCATGAACTATTGTTGCTTTGCGCCTCCTGCCTTTTGCCTTCCCCAGCGTAAATCATCGTAAACTTTGCATAAAGGAAATGAACTATTTTCGTTTAACGGCTGCTCTTTGAAAATGGTCTAGCTGTTCAGTGAGTTTTCTCGCCAAAAGTTTTAAACCCTGTAAGTGAAAAACACATATACCTGGAGCTGAGTTTGAAATATTTAATTTGAATTTGGACAGTGAACATTGCCCCAAAATTTCAGCCTTCTAGCTTTTCTGGTTGCCGAGTTAGGAATTTTTCCCACAAAACTTTCACGTACCCATACATGAGAACACGCATACCTAGAGGGTGAATTTGAAATCTTTAGCTTAAACATGCACAGAGAACATCTGTGCACAGTTTCAGCTTTTTATCTCGTCCGGTCCCCGAGATCGTTTCCCCGCCAAAAAATTTGCATGTTTTTTAAAAGGTCCGTACACGGCACCAAGCGTACGTGAGTGATTGTATTAACACATGAAGGAGGTGCATGATGTGGGTACATAGTCCTGAAGTTTCAACCCTCTTGCTTTTCTGATTCTCCAGTTGAAAGTGGATGACAAAAAGTGAGAACACACAGATAAACACACAGACAGCATCTTGCCAATATGCATTTCTGCATTTGCGTATATGCAAAAACGCATATAAATAATAACAAATTAAGAGCACCTCAAATTAAAACGCTTAACTGAAATTAAAGGAGCGCTCTTGAAAATTCTGCTAGCTGTTCATTCAGAAGCCCAAAATCCGCTGAGGAACATGTATTCACCGCCCTTCTAACAGTGTAAGGGTGTGTTCATGCAATAATAACTAATTAGGTAAACAGTATCCTGATGCTGCTTCTGACTAATGAAAATTAACAACAAACAATTACAGTGCGGTTTCTGGAGTTTGCAGTAGCACTCAATACTCTTAGCATTTGTGTATCGATGGTGTTATGGATGTGCTGCAAAATCCGCCGAAATTTGCCGCCATGGAATTGGCTGATCAGGTAAGTTCACCTCACGTGCATGTACTGTTTCATGTTTATGGTTTAATCAATTTTTTCGCAAGTTTTCGCGTCTCTTCTTAAGCTCACAACTCCTCCACAGCTGCTGACCAAGTCAAAATTCCTTGTGGTCAGTTTGTTGAAGATTCTGGCTTTTTGTCCTCCATTCGTCAGAGAAAAATGCTGTATGCATCACTATCTCTCAGCTGTAACCTTCCATCATTCCTCTCCACATGTCATCACTCATCCATAAGCCATTAATTTCGAAGGGAATGGTACTCCGAATGTGTGTTCTTCGGACCTACGTTCTTGCTGTCACTTGGCCCACAATTCACTTGTTTGGTCATTCTAAGTCAAATCATTAGTCATGTAGCGAGCTAAGTGTTGAGGTGCTTTACGCAACAACAAGTCTAGAAATCACCAACGAGTTGATGCAGACATCCCTTATGGTCTTGGCTATATGCCATACGTAGAAC